GGCTTTTGGGGTGCCCAGACCCCCTCCATGCCCAGAAGACCCCACACTGGACCAGCTGTGCCCCCCGCCCTCATCCCCCCCCACGGCTGGCGGGGGCCACGTGCTCGATGTGCGAGCGGGGAGGGGAGGAAGCGGGAGGCACTTTAATTTGGCTATTTAAAAATAAAGAAATAACGCAGGCTTTGAAAGCCCGGAGGGGTCCCAGCGGAGGGACCTCATCCCCCCTTCAAAGGCCGCCTCTGCTTTCTTCCCCCCGCTCGCAGCACACAAAGGTGCACGAGCACTTTCGTCTCTGTGGAAAGACCTTTTTAATTGGTTCCAGGCAGAAGGTTAAAATCTCTCCCCTTCCCTGCGTGCTCGCCTAAGAGGGGAAAGGGGGAAAAAAGGGGGAGGCAGGGAGGAAGGGTTGTATGGAGGCAAAACAGCTCTGCCTGGTGCAGGGGGATGAGCCGGGGGGCACCTGGGGCCAGAGTCCCCTCTGTGGGGTCCAGGGTGGCCGAGTGATGGGGATCCAGGTGAGAGCAGGGGCGGCCAAGGGGCGTGTGGTGGGGGCATCGAGGGGGCTGTGCCCGCCTCCAGAGCAGGAGATGCTCCCAAGGAAAAGGGAGATGCTCGGTGTGAGGATGCTCAGTGCTCCCACGGGAAGGCAGGTTTTGAGGGTTTCTGCAGAGATTCCCAAAAACAGCGGGTGGAAATGTAGTGCCTCTAGGGTCTCACCATGGGGAGGGAGCTGGACAGAGCAGGAGGGCACCCAAGGGGCCGCTCCCACCGCCCCATTTCCCCACGTGACTGCGGAGCACCCTCGGCACATCCCCATCCCCATCCCCATCCCCGAGCATCCCACCCGGCACCCAAGCCCTCGCCATCCTCATCCTCATTCCCGTCCCACCCTCCCGGCCCTGCCATCCATCCCAGCACTTGGGTTTCCTTTCACGGAAGGGGGAGCTGAGAAAAACGCATCAATTATTGAGCCGGGGCGCCGAGCCCGCCGCGGCCCCGTTGCTGATGCCGCTCAGGTAGAGCGGCGCGAGCCGCAGTCAGACACCTCTAACACGATTAGCTGCAGGGCTCTTCCAGCGCGCGTCAAGGTCAACTTCTCTGAGGCTGACAAAAGGCACGGGCGGGCAGCGGCTCCCCCGGCCGGGACGGGGCAGCAGGACACCGGGGACGGGCACTGATGGCCCCGGGCGATGCCACGGGGGCAAGGGGAGCTCCAGGGCAGGGTGGCAGGGCTCCTGGTGGGATGGGGACATAGCAGGGGAGCTCCCAGTGGGGTGGGAATGCAGTGGAGGGGACTCCTAACGGGATGGGGATGCAGTGGTGGGGCTCCTGGTGGGATGGGGTTGTCACAGGAGGGCTCCCAGTGGGACGGGGACAAACATGGGGCTCCTCACCCCAGGACAGGGACCCGGTGGGTCCCCCTGCAGCAAAGCCCCTCCCGTCACGCCGTGCGGGAGCAGCGGGTCCGGCCCGGCCGGCCGCACGTGGGGCGGGAATTGGATCCAGATGTTTCCCCCAGCAGCCGGAAACCGCTTCCCCCAACCAGAAAGTGCTCGGCAGCCCCTTCCACCACCCCACACCGGCTGTGGTGGGACCGGCCCTGCCGGCACCGCGCTGTGCCCACGGGATCCACCCTGGGGGGACAAGCTCGGGAGGGCACAGGGCCGGCTCATTCCACAACAGTTTTGGGACTCGCAGTGACGGGACCCCCGGGCACAGCGGCCAAGCTTCACCCCCTGCCATCCTCATCCTGCTCATCCTCATCCTTCCAGAACCATCCCCGTGTCTTGCGCGGCAAAGGAGGGACACCGACCCCTCCCCGTGCCTGCTCCACCAGCACCCCTGCAGCAGGACTGGGTGGGTGCCCACCAGGACGGGTGTCCCCCCAACTGGGTGCTCGCTGTGCCAGGCAGAAGGTAGCAAAGCCAAAAATAAAAGCCCCAAACCTCAGTCTGGGAGGATCCAGCTTCAATATCCGGGTGCACACGGGTTGGGAAAGGACTGGCTGGCAGCTCCAGTGATGGGGTGCATGACAAAGGTCACCCTCAACACCATTTCTGAGAGGTCTCCTGAAGGACACCACCATCCACAGGGTCTCTATCACCCCCTCAAGTCACCTCCTGCTTTGGGGAGGGTTCCCGGGGCAGTGGGATGGGGCTTTCCAGGCCCTCCAACCTCCGTGAGAGCGAGGAAAACCACCCAAAAACCTCAGAAACCCATTTGAGGAGCCAGAACCTGAATTCCCCCACACTCCTGTTATTTAAAGCCAATCCAGCTTCCAAGTCCTGCAATGATGCAAGAATCTCAATTACCATTAAAAGAACACGTTCCTGCTCCTCCATTACGGAGAAAAGCCTGAAAACCAACCCCTGGGAATTCCACAACTCTAGAAAGAAGAAAAATAAAATATTCATGTAATTTAGATTATTTAAAACCTGGCACTTGGTAAACCAGTCTCTGCACTGGAGGGAGCTGGGGCGGTTCACACCTCGCAGAAGGCAGGGAGAGGGTCAGGGATGGAAACCCCGATCGCAGCCCCGCGGCCTCCGGTGCCACCCCGGGCACCCCACTGCCGGGTTGGCGGCAGGATCCGGCGATAAATGGGTTTTAAACACCTCCGAGCTCGTGGGATGCGGCGCTGCGGAAGGACAGCGGGTTATTTTTATCGTTGCATTAGTTCCAGATTAATTGCCGGGATGTTATTAACGGCACGGAGCAGGGTCCGGGCGCGGGGACGCTGACGTCGGCCTGTCCTGTCCCAAAGCCCGTGGAGCAGCTGGGAGTGAGACCCTGCACATGCCTCTCATTACACCACCACAGCTTGGTGACAACCAGGGACAGGAGCCACTGACCAGGGCCAGGAGCCATCGAGCAGCACCAGGGCCTCCTGGCTCGTCCCCTCCCAGCCCAGATGCTCCCTCTCCAGCTCCACTCAGCAGCTCCAGGGAGCACTGGATGGTGGCTGCCCCCAGACCTCCCTCCTCCTCTCCCTCGCTCCACGGCGGGTCCCAGTTCCCTCCAGTGCTCTGTAACTGGGGTTTCTCCTGCCAGCCCTGATTCTCCAGCCCTGGGGGCTCCATCGTATCCCGTCAGCCCACCCCTGCCAGCTCCCTCCCAGCAGCCCCTCTGGAATTCACACATCTCCAGCACGGCCAAACACCCCCAGTTTGTGCCAGTGCCGGTGGCTGCGATCCTGCAGGTCACCCAGGGCTGGGACACACGCTCAGCTCCTCCCCTGGCTGCTCCCAGCAGGAAACCTGGTGCTGGGCCAGGGACTCCCGGGACCCTCCCGGCGTCGGAGCTGAGCTAATCCTGGGTTTCACACCCCAGAGGGTCGGGGATGGCACTGCCATCGTGGGGACCCCTCCACTGTCCCCCTGCCCTCTGTCCCCGCAGCAGAGCGGGAGGGAGCAGGAGAGCGCGACGGAGCAGAGCTGCTGCTGAGAAACCATCTCAGCAAACCTGCCTGTCAGCGATCCCACTAATGGCACTCGGGGATGGAGACATCGGGACGTGCCCTCTGCGCCTGCCAGCCACATCCCACACAGGTGGGATCCCAACGGCTCCTTTCCCCCGGGAAAGCTGGGATTGGGCCTGTGTGGCGGTGCCAACAGCTGCCCAGAGCTTTGGCTCGTGCCCAGCACAGCACTCCCAGCCCACTGGGGACCAGCCACCCCCCAGCCTGGCCTCCCAGCCCCCTCCCAGCCCCAAATGCCGGACAGGATCGGACACAGGACGTGGGATTTGCTGGGGGCAGATTCCCACAGGAGCATCCCAGCAGGTCGAGCCTGCTGGGGATGGGGCTGCCTGGGCAGGCTGGGCAGGGACGGGCAGTGTCACAGCGAGGTGAGAGCGGCATAATCCCAACAAAGGAGTGGCTTCCAGCAGGGAGAGCCTGGCCAAGGAGAATCGGGCCCAGGTGGACACGCTGGGAGCCACATCCCACACTCTGGGACAGCCCTGGGGCATTGGTGACCAACCCTGGGGCCTCCTGTCCCCAGTGGCTCCCAGTTCAGCACTGGGAGATGACACCTAGCAGGGACAGGGCCGCATGGCTCCTGCAGAGACCGGTGACATTCCCAGGTGGAATTGCTTTACAGGGTCAGGGAGGAAGGAACCAGCGCGGAGATATTTAAGTGGCGTTTCACCATCGGAAAAAATTAGAGTCACAATATTAATTAATCCTCAAAGCACTTTACGAACATTAACTAATTAAGCCTCCCAACCCCTCTGCGAGGTGGGAAAGGTATCATTGTCCTCATTCCACAGCTGCAGAAAATGAAGTGCACGGAGGTGACGTGACTCACCCACGGTCACTGCCAGCCAAAGGTGGGAAGGGGACCCCAAAATCTGCCCCTCGCTCCTAAGCAGGGCAGGACACAGCAGTGCTGGGCACCCTGGAGCCCCCTCAGCTGGATCCCAGCACCCCACCACCTCAATGCCGGGTCCCAGCATCCCAGTCCCCACCCAGGGCAGTGAGACAGAGGGGGACAAACCAGGACCCCAAAATGGGGCATCCTGGGGGAAAAGCCCCCCGGTTCCAGGGGCAGGAAGTTAGAACAGAAACCGCCGAGGGGTTTTATGGAAAGCACCACCGACCCAGCGCGGTTTAAAAGCGATTAGAGCCCTGCCTGGGTTATCAGCCGGCGTCTCAATCCCGCGGCATCGATCCGGATAATAGCCGGCAATTGTTCAGATACAATATCATAAAGTCCCTTTA